ATACAAAATGATAAATAAAAACATTTGATTTAACTTTACAACGACCAATTCTTCAGTTGCATCTTTCGGAACGAGAAAGGGGTATCACAGCACGGGGGGGGAGGGGGGGAGGGGGCAGCAAAGAAAGTAAAAAATCAGAGAGGAAATTGGAATAAAAATATATCAGTGGGATAAACGGGAACTGAGTATACGAGTCCGCGGAGGGAGGGATCGAGAGAGAAAGAAAGAAAGAGATTGTGTCTGTCTGTGTGTATGTGTGTGTGTGTGTGTGTGTGTGTGTGTGTGTGAGAGAGAGAGAGAGAGAGAGAGAGAGAGAGAGAGAGAGAGAGAGAGAGAGAGAGAGAGAGAGAGAGAGAGAGAGAGAGAGAGAGAGTGACAGAGACAGAGTGAGACGGTGGAGTACGACAATAAACGATAGCGTTTCATCTGGCAACTATTTGGTGTATAAGAATAAAGAACACTGCTTTCCGAAAACACCGGTATCATCTTTCATTTTTAATTTCATTTCACAAACAAACAACATTATTTTCAGCAGCTCCCCCGTTTCTTTCCTTAAAAAATGTTCCCGTCACCGCGAATTACAAACAATAAATATCACTTCTGCTCTTATCACCTGCGCTGAAGATTTACTCTTCGTGAATGCAAACTCCATGATTAGCCACAAAATTCTCCCGCGTTATCATTCATAACATGATTGTAATTCTGTTAAAACCCTAAAGAAGAATTACTTTACGCTGGGGGGTACAGAGCCAAGGTATTATAAGGGCAATACGCCAAACCAGCGTCCTCGATACTCCATTAAATCTTCCCTCCGCATTCCTGGCCCATGATGTAAGCAAACTTGAACGTATGTACTTGATTAATGCGCGTCTATAATTAGCCTAATCGGCCTGAGAGGAGCAGCGCTCACGGAACTTCCGGTGCCCTCTGCTGAGTATATAATGTTGTAATGTACTCACTTATACAAACACACACCCTCTCTCTCTCTCTCTCTCTCTCTCTCTCTCTGTCTCTGTCTCTCTCTCTCTCTCTCTCTCTCTCTCCCTCTTTCTACTTCTCCCTTTCTTCCTTTTTTCATTTCTCTCTAATCCAAGAATGTATGCGTGTATATGCGTGTGCGTGCATATCATATGCGTATGTGTATACATAGGTATGAGTGTACATAAAAGCTTGCCAATCTCTCTCTCTCTCTCTCTCTCTCTCTCTCTCTCTCTCTCTCTCTCTT